GAAATGTTGTCCCGGACTGGAACTGGCACTAATTCCATGTCAGGTTCAAATGCCACGCCTACTCTGGCTCAGGGATAAGGGGTGCACTTGAGCGAGTATACCTATTTACGCTCGTTATCCTATTTCTGGTTTTGTATCTATCACTTACTTGTATTGATCACCAAGTACAGATTCATTAAATCCATTGTACTATGCTCACCCCATCCGCATAATGACGGAAAAAACAAGAAAAAAACAGCATTGTGCAGATCTTCCGACTGGTTGAGCCCACGGTATAGATGAGTCCAAGTCTAAATTGAACCGTTTTTCACCGATTTATTTCTAGTAGCTCTTTATCCACTCACTCTCGTCTTGGGACGGTAAAACATGCATGCTACGCAGACGCGGTTTCGCTATACATAAATGTGGACGCTAACAAAGCTGTGAACTTCTGTGATTGAACGCTACGGCAAGAAAATCATAATTTCGAGTAGATGTAGGAAGATTTGCGACATCTCAAAGTGGTTACTTTGAAGTGCAACATCTTCCAATTCAACGGCATGTTCTATTCACAGAAGAAGAGGCTTGGCCATGGGACTGAGGATATCACCGCTATTGGCTATCGTCTCTTTGGACCGCATTGAAAGAAGTCCTTGGTCGCGGCAATTATAGTCTACAAGAGGTACATAGACGATGTCTTCGTCATTGGCTCTACCGCCGAAGCGACGAGACGATGCTTCAGAACATGAACTCGTGTGAACATACGTTTTACTGTGGTGTATCCAAACAATAGCATCTTTGTTCCGTTTTTGGAAAAGGTTTCGAATATACCATGGCACGAAAGAATTGGTATGGTATAGGAAACCGATGAGCAAGAACATCCTTCTGCATTCCCGAAGTGCACACCCTCTGTACATGAAAGCAAACGTGATAAAGAACCTCATCACGACGAAGTCGAGGACTGTGGAATAAAGAGTGGTCTCAAGGACCTGGTATAAGAAAAGTCTATCAGAAAACAGCGAAAATACAGGAAGAGAATAGCTACGCGACTTGTCACCTAAGAACGTGGTGTCACATCTTTGCTGTTGGACGAATACCACTGGTTTCACTGCACGTCAATGAACGCACTACAAAGAAAGTGAATCATGTCATCACGTCGTCCGGTCTTCCAGTACAGCTAATATTCAACCACCTGCCAATCTGAAACGCTTGCTGACGTCGTCACGGATATATGAAGAGAAATGTAGCCGAAGTACAGTCCTCATCATTGCGGACCGGTGGGGCGTGTCAGCCAGAAGGAGTGCGCACACTGTTGAAGCCGTTCTCAGCCTTTTTTGTTGCAACGCGTATGCGACAAAAAGTGGTAGAAAACGAGTAATACGAAGGATATAATACAGTAATGCACTTGCCCGCTTCAAAAACTGGTGCAGAACGATTTTGCCAAACCGCACCAAACGCAGCCGCACTGCCACGCCCCACCGGTCCGCAATGATGAGGACTGTAACTGCGCGTATTGCGCCAGAAATATAATAAAATCTGCCAATTACGAGGAACGGTTTACTTGGTCACATGCGAAGGATGCAATCAGAAATATGTTGGTGAAACTATGCGGCCGCTTCATAAAGGATGGACGAACACGTGCGAGCGCAGCGGATTCCCTCTCCTCACCAAGGAGTGGGTTTTCACGGCATCGCACCGTATGCGTGAACATGAAGTCCCGCCCATCTAAAAGCCATCGCATTGCACAGCTCGAAGGAAGGCCTATGAGGAAGAAAACTGCTCGAGGCGCTTGCTGTCAAGCGTCTATCTTCCGAAGTGAAACAACAGGGATGAGCTAATGGGAGCAATGAGTCTGATATCTTAGCGGTAGTGATAGTAGGGAAGTCATCTGAGATGTCACGCACGTCACATTTCTAGTGACTTTCAGTTACATAGGCAGTGCGGTTGGGGTAAGCGTCCGTTTATTATCTTACGTCTTGGTAGTACGATTGCATATATTGTATTGCAGAACACTGTTGTTGACCTGGCCAACCTGGTTAGTTAATTGTATAACTTAGCCCTTGTTGAATGTTGTAATGCAAGTATGCTTGACATATTGTATTTTAAGGTCTGACGAAGCTGTAAAACAGCGAAAGCTTACCAATAAAGGTATTGAACAAGTCCTCAATTATTGAAAAAAGGAGAATGAACACAAATGAGGCTCAGGAATAGTTTGATATTATCAAGATACAGAGAGGTGTCGGTATCTGAAGAAGCTTCAGCCACTCCCGCAAACACTGGCTTGATCAGTTTCTACCCAAAAGCAAAGGTTCATTACCGAAATCAAGGCCCACTGTTCTCCATACCCGGCGTGAACGCCAGCACTGTCAATCAAATTTTGTCGCATTCTGATGGTTACTTGTCCCAGCCAGACAACTGTCAGTGTATCAAAGTTCCAAAATCAGCAGTGTGCCTACAAAAAAAACGTGCAAAGTGAGCGAAAGATGGATGCTTTCAGACATTAACAAGCCGGAGCATCCGCTCAATGAAAAATATGTTGTACTCAAATCTGTTGAAGTAAAAGGACATCTTGATAAGGTCCTTTATGGTTTCCGTTTTTCCTCGCCTTCCGATGGTTTTGATCACTGAAGAGAGGCGATATTTCCATCACCACCACTTACAGTGGACTTCTCATTCGACGGTGGGGCGGTCCTACGACCATGCTGGCGAGCGGTCCGACAGTTGCGTGTCGGTGGGAAGGTGGATGCCTGGGGCGATTTTCATCACTGATTCTCGCTCTTTGACATTGACTCTGTGCTCGAACACACGCCACCGCACAAGAATATGAAAATGAAGGACAGAAAAGATTCAGAAAATGGAACAGTGGAATAGAAAATTCTTTATTAGTTGGTATGTGCCGACAACTTGGATGCAGCGATAAGTGATGACGTCGTATTGTCTAGCAGCAGTCGCGGTGTCCGTGGTGGCCTGCAAACATATTTCGTTATTCTGGTGTTTATTGGCGTCAGTGGTGCAACATTCAACCAGTGAAAGTGAGCTGAGGTTACGGGAAGACTGAAATTGTGCGAAGAGAAGTATTTCAATGAGCTTGCTGTATATGTATACTGACTAGGGGAAAATTCGGACAGAGATCCACAGATGGTGAAGGGTTCAGGAAAGATGTTGATTAGGGATGGAGCAGAAAAAGGGCCGTGGATGTTTCAGAGCGCGGAGGAGCTTTTTTAGTAAGGGATTTGCTCAGATAAGGGTTAAGCACATTGAGCCCAAGGATGGAAGGATTACCTCAGTGTCTCAGTGGTGGCATCGCTCACGGCTTCTGCTTCGACTGTGATGACCGTGGTGATGACGATGATGATGGTGATGATATTCAGTGCTCGGCGGATAGTGACCTAGTAAGCACGCATTAACCCCACATGTCAACTCAGCACTGTTCGGCTTTGAAAAAAAGGGGGGAGGGCGGAAGTGGTGGGGCTAGGAGGAGGGCATTCAGCTTGTTCGCTACTTTCTTCAGTCACGTTACCTTGGTGTGACCTAACTTCTGCTGAAGGTTCAATATAGGGCAAGGTTATCCGAGCCGCCCTAATAAGACCTGCTGACTCTTCTAAACGAGAAGGTTGAGACTCACTTTGTATGGCTGTGCTAACTTCACCAAAGCCCCCAAATTTTCAGGCCCATGGAGAAAAGCAAAATGCTCCTCCTAGAAAAACAGGGTCTTGCAAAGAGCATAAGACGTGCACTCAAGAGATTTGGGCGGAGCATCAGGGTGATCGGTGGCGGGGCATTCAGGGTGAGCCGCTACATGGAGCTTGGGTTATGCAAATACCTTTGCACCTCGCAGAATGGACCGATCTCGAGCCTTGGTGTACAGCGTTTAACTTTAAAGGCGGTGCCCTGGCTTTGAAACAAGTTACGTGGTGCGGTCAGAGCCACTAATGACAAGGGGTAGATAGCACAGTGGCGGAACAAGGAGCAGGATCAAACCCGCTGGAATGTTTCTGTAATAGAACCTATGCTGACGCGAGCTTATACGTGCAGAAAGCGAGAATAAGGCTGGTCGTACGAGTTCTCAGGTGCCGGTATCAGCTATTTCGCTTTATCAGCTCACTGTCACCATTCTGAAGAGGACAGAGCGAATAGTGAAACAACCGGCCCACAATGCAGCCTTTGGAACATGGAGAGTTTGGAGGCTCAATAGGACATCGCGGAGCCATGGCTTCGTCGCGAACGGGCCGCGCTTTCCTCACGTATTTTTGAGCAGCGAATATACTACCTCCTTCATGCTTGCTCAAAGAGTACTATGCCCAAAAAAGAAGTCTGCGAATCAAATGAGCGCGGGCGTAATGTGGTGCTGCTACTATCTCCCTGTAAGCGTCGAATAAGTTTCCTGTGTTTGGAGTAGAGGCAAGGACTTGAAGGAAAGGGAAAATATTTGATTTTCGAATCTGATTCTCGAAAGGATTTGCAGTAATCTTACCCGGAGCGGAGTCCAGTAAAGCAAAAAATTTGTGTGGTACATGCCCGCCACCTGACTGACTATGCTTGCTCTCAAAGTGCTCACCATGACCATGTTCTCCATCGTAGGGTTTGTACGGAGCAACACCAATTCGAATTCCACCAATCCCTCGCATGTGGGGTCCAGCTGGGGATACGCCGTGACCGATCGCTGCCGCAGGGCCTGGATAAGATTGGCGTTCAAGGATGATATTTGCTGACAACATAGTTGAGGTCTCAGTCTGCTCTACTATTAGGGACAAACTACCTATTACGGACACAACTATTAGCACTCGTTTTCCTGAGGACGGTCCTTGTGTGGCGAAGCACAAACTGCCCAAGCGATCCACTTTCCCCGTTCAAAAGCACACGGGAATAGGGCTGCAGGGAAGTGATGCTCGAGTTTTACCTCGATACTATGCCCGCTCTATCCTCAATGTGCAGCACTTGGGTCGATACCAAAATCCCGCAGCAAGGATGCAGTCAGAGGTAAAGAACAAAAGAAGCGAGAGGCTGCAGACAAGTAGCGTGTTCGGCTATTCTTGAGGCGGGCGGAGAGTGGACTGCAGGCAAGTTCCCTTGCACTTTAGAGAAGGTGGTTCACTACTGTTGTGGACCAACTTTACACAGCAAGATAGCCTCTCCGATGAATAACAGTTCCGGCTTTTGAGATCTTGGAGATAGGTGGAGAGCAGTCGGGAACGGCTAACCAAAGCACTTATTGCCAGAAAATGCGAACGGGACTAAAATGAGCTAACAAAGGAGAAAGTCGAAGTAGAATAAGTTGTAAGAGGCAAAAGAGAAAGCGCTTCAATATCCAGAGAAAAAGAATTGAGACGTTCTCAACCCAACAAAGACTCTTTGGTATGTGGCACGCGCTACATACTTCCATTCAAATCTTAGGGGTTTATTGAATGCGGATGATTGCGCCATTTCAAAATGACTTCAGGAGTAGCAATGTACCAGTCAGTGTTCTTACCTTTGTAAATGGACATGACACCGAGTCACTCCCTTGAAAGATACAAGGAGGCATGGTGGACCTGATCGGGTATCGAACCGGACTGCGCGCGGTAAGTGCTCCCCCTCTTACTCCACCACCTTCGCCTCACCAAGACATGAGAGGACGTGCTGAAAAGCTTAAGCAACCGCATTCATCAATTCTGGACGTTCCTTTGTTTATTTAGAAATTACACATAGAATGATTTATGAGCGGCCAATTAGTAGTTACACATAGAATGATTTATGAGCGGCAAATGAACAGGCCTACATTCTTCTCTTACGTCAGTTTTTCTTCCCCTTGGCGACCACGACCTACGGAATGTTCAGCGAGTCTGGATGGATTCCGTCTTACCAGCGATTCGTTTCTTATAGATGATCCACTTCCGAACATTATTTGAGCTAAAACTAAAGCTAAAACTTTACAGGATCAACGGGGTTTCCGAGGCGAATGGCACGCTTACCACGCACAATGCCCGGGGGAATAAACCAGGATAGATTCCCAGGTACCCTCTGTGGACTGTAAGTCGGTGCCAGATTCGTGTGAGGGCATAAAAACACTGACTTGTACATCAGCTGTTCCCCGCAAGTCATTGTATAGGCCACATCGCATTCAATAAGCCACTGCGATTCTAAATGGAAGTAGAACGCGTGTCGCATCCCAAAAGAGATTGCTCAAGAAGACTTCATACTTCCTCCTTTAATTACCATGGTTTTACAAAGTGGTTGTGGTGCAAGCGAAGCAGTAAGGATGGCTCTAACAAAGAAAATCGTTACAAGTATAATTCATAGACTCACCGTGATTGAGCTCTCCTTCGCAAGGTCTGAGAGGAACTACACCACCTCCGATGCCACCGTGACCGATTGGAGGAGCCGGTTCTGGATACGGCGGATAAGGTCCCATGGGACCAGCACCATGCCCGATTCCACCACCCTGTAAAATGAATTGTTTTGCGTTATTTTGTTGATGAAAATCTCGTGAATTACCTACATGATAGCTTGGTGAGGCTCCAGACCCAATCCTGAGCCTATTCCTCCAGGTGGAGGGTAGTTTGGAGCAGCTCCTGATCCGATCCCTGAGCCAATTCCTCCTGGTTGGAGGGTAGTTTGGAGCAGCTCCCGATCCGATCCCTGAGCCTATTCCACCTGGTGGAGGGTAGTTCGGAGCACCTGCAGATCCTATTATTCCACCAGAATGATAGCTTGGCGTGGCTCCAGAACCGATTCCTCCGCCATAGTATTGAGGAGGAGCAGGTGCTGCGCCGGATCCGATTCCGCCTCCCTATGTAAGTGAAACGTTATGCTTTTGCGATACTGGAGAGGTACGATTAAAATTCACCTGCGCATGAGTGCCACTTCCAATTCCACCGTAATTCGGGTACATCTCGCCTGCTGATCCTATAGGTCCTTTTCTGCCTGGATTAATTTCTCCTGCCGATCCGATAGGAGAATCTGAAAAGAGGAAATGGTTATGTGTAGGCATGAGTAAGAAGCGAATGAAAGAGTGGAATTCATCTAAGATCTAGGAACTAGCGGCAGTACGTGCGACTAAATATATAGCAGGAACTGAATGGTGGAGCGTTATCACCTGACGGATTCGCCGGTGGAAAGCCATCTTGATAGTGGAGCGTTGGTGTATTGTGATTCATGCTAGAAGTAGTGCTTATCAGCGACACAGTTCACGACGTGACGTTTACTGAGAGGACACAAAAAAAAACAATTAAAGCAGAAGCTGTTCAGTGGGCAATGAAAATGTCCCCTAAGTGCAAGTTAAGTGAGAAGTTGAATGGTTTTTCTACAGGTATTCGATTACATGGTTCAAAAATTATCAGTTTTTTTTGTACATTTCGCAGATGACAACTTCCCACATGGATTTCCTTATCAGCCTTCGAACATGCGTAACTAGGAGTAGTCTTACTATGCAAACATTTCTGTGCTATGAAAAAAGAATTATGGCCACGAGGAAGTCTTAGGAAACATTCTTAATCGAGGTTTCTATTTCTGAGTGGGTCACCCCGTTGATCCAGGCAGGGTGACGCGGTCGCTTGTA